GCCCCCGCCCCACCAAAAAAAAAAGTGCTACTCTCTTGGAGGTACTTATAATTTGCCTTTATCAGGGAAGGGAATGATAGGTGCAGAGAACAATATGAAGTGCTGTCATTTGGGTGAGGAAATAGGTTTACTGTAGTAATTCTTAGGAAGGTAGATTCCGTCTCAGTGTAAAGATGACGACTCTCTAGTTTGTTTTTTTTTTTTTTTGGTTGTTGTTGTCTGAACCCAGGGCCTCATGTTTGCTAGGCAGGTACTCTACCATTTGATCCACTCTGCCAGCCTAGTTAAGAAATAATTTAAGGTGGACATGTTTGTGATGTGAAGTGGCTTTGCTGAGAAGAGTTAGGACTGAGCAGCCACTTGTAGATCATATTCCAAGTCTGACATTGCTAAATTTCTGGGAATTTGATGACTGATGTCTATGAGGAAAGGAAAAAAAGTAACCTAGTTTTGAGCCTGGATGAAAGGAAGTTCCAGACTATCTATCTATTCCTTTTTGATGTCTTTAAATACTGAAACTGCATTGATTAATGGTCAGAATTCATCTTTATTTTATATTTGGTCACCTGACTGGGATTGGGCCTGAAAGCTAGATTTTTAACACTTAATATATGGGTCCCATTTTTGCGTAGTAGGAAAAAACCTCACATTTTGTGTCATTTTGGTAGCCAAGAATGTCCTGATACATTCTAACTCAGGAGAATCCCGATCTCTTAGAGAGCTGGGGTTTATCAGTCAGTATTAAGAGTAGAACCTCTTAAGGCTCAGATTGTCCTTTGACCTTTAAACTCACTGCTAACCACCTGCTGGGATGAGGTTTTGTGTTTTTTGTTTTTTTTTAAAAGGTTGTATAGATTGGTATTAGATTAAGGAAGATATACATGTATATATGAAATGCTTGCTTAATCCATAGATGGAGCATTACTTAGATAACTTTATTTGGACAGTATGCTCACTGGTTGTCCTTACATTTAGTTTTATTTATTTATTTATTTTGCTCCTTTAATGACATTTTCATTAGCCAACCAATATACTCTGTGCTACTTTTAATTAAGTTTTCTTTTTTCTTTCTTTTTTGAGATGTTATCTGTTTATGCAGTCCAGGTTGGCCTCCTGCCTCAGCCTCCCAAGTGTTGGGATTACATTACAAGTATGCACTACCATTGGCTTAAGTTTTCTTTTAAATCAAATAGGAGTGGAAAGGGTGTTTTATTTTATAAATCCTGCTAAATCTTTGTGTTACTTATATTATTCAGAGAACATAATCGTCCTTTATACCTCTTACATACCCTATCTTGACTAAAGTCAATTTTACTTAGAAGTAGAATTGTTAATGTTGGTGACTGATGGGAGTGTATGTTGGCTACATTATAGACAGGCTGTCTTCCCTATATATCTATTGTGAGAATTTCTATATTGTCTTGTTTTGCCTTTCCTAGATTTCTTGTAAGAATTTTGGTTATTTTCAGTAATGTTTGTTGACATAATTAGGATCCAAGCTTTTGTAATAAAATGAGATTAGGTGTTTTTTTTGAACTCAGGGCCTTTACCTTGAGCCACTCCATCAGCCCTATTTTTTTGTGAATGTTTTTTTGAAATACAGTCTTGTGAACTATTTGGCTAGGCTGGCTTTGAATCTCAATCCTCCTGATCTCTGCCTTCTGAGTAGCTAGGATTACAGGCATGAGCCATTGGTGCCTGGCAGGTGTTTTCTTAAGTGAATAGCTTCCTATGTTTAGAACATTTAAAAAATAATACCTCCATTAAAAGGAAAGGGGGGGAAATCATACCAGCTTCTGCCAACCTCAGTAACTTGTGTATCTACCTGGAAACATTTTTTTATTTCCTTCTGATACTTTAATTATTTTTGTCATGCCAGGTGACCAAATTAAAAGTCATTGCTAGGTCATTAAGATTGGCTATTTGATGTTAGATAATAAGAATCTAGAGAGATGTACATGTTTCCAAGCAGGTTTTTTTTTTTTTTTTTTTTTTTAAACTCGTGTGTTCTTATATTAACCTTATTTGTAAAATAAGGCATTGTGGACTGCCTGTCCATAATCCCATGCAGTGATGGGCTCAACCATAGCTCCACTCTTTTCAGGTGACATGAATGTTTCTGTTTATAAGTGGTTCTTGGTCTAACAGAGAAGACAGCCATGTAAATAGACTATAAATGCTGTATGAGAAAACAAAGTAGCAGGATTTCTCAACCTCATCACTACTGATACTTTAGACTGGATAATTGTTTGTTGCGGACGGCTATCCTGTATGAATGGTAAGATGTTTACCAGTATCTCTGGCCTTTACCTACCCACTAGATACCAAGAGCAAAACCCCCTGCTGCCTGCCAGTAATGTGAAATGCTTCCGTGGGGGCAAGGTCACTCACATAGAGGACTACTGGTATTTGTTAACAGGACAGGGTGTTTTTGCTGACCATCATAGTATTTAGGGATTGATAGTTGAGCTTGGTTTATAGTATTTTCAGGAGTTTGGCTAGTGGAAGTTTCAGGGAAGACTTTGAAGACTTGGAAATATAAAAATTACATGTTTGAGAATCTATGTAAAAAAGGTGTTGTGGAAAAGGAAAGTAGCTAGGAGTTTATAGGGTATTTGAACTTTATCCCTTTAGTGATAGGGAGCCATTGAGAGAAAAGTTTTCAATAGGCAAAAATTATTTTTTTTATAAGTAATAGAGAAATAGATAAACACTTGAGATGTCAAGATGACCAGAGATTTTGATAGCCCGAACTGAGTAAAAGTCCACAATTGTTCTAAAACTGGTGATACAGTGTGCGAACTTTTTTATGTTGATTGTCTGCAGATGGAGAGGAAATAAGGAAGAATTGACTTACTGGATTATGTATGTTGTGTTACACTTGATGTACCTATTATGTAAGAACGGAAATAAGAGAGAAGAATGGTGGTTCTTGTGCTATTAATGCCATTCAATAAGTTGTATGGAAATCGATGTAGGTGTTTTAATTTATATTAGCTCCATTTGTATGTACAAAATAGAATTTGAGGTAAGGTGTGTGGGACTGATCCACTACCATTATTACTAACATGACATTTTAAGATGGTTTTAACTATGTAATCAGTAAAATCCGCTTTTCCAGATAACTTGGAAATACTGAATTTTGGTTTGTAAATACGTGGTAGATTATTACTGAGGCAGATTGCATTTTGCCTCTATTTTATCTTCTCACCATTCTCTAGGGTATGGTTACTTGAAAACTAAATTATTTTTTTACAGTAGTTTTATTGTTACTTCTGTGCTTATACCATACTTGCCTTTTTCCCTCAATTTTATGCTTTATGAAAATGAAATGGGGAAAAAGTAGGGTTGGATTTAGAATAAAAAGCTCTTTTTTAAAGAGTATTTGAAGCCAAAAATTCCTTATTGCAACTACTGGGGGCCTGAACACAGGGCTTCACACTTGCTATACAGGCACTGTACTATTTGAGCCACTCTGCCGGCCTTTTTTTGTTGGGTATTTTTGAGACAAGGTTTCTTACTGCCCAAGCTGGCCTTGGACTTTTGATCCTCCTGGTCTGCCTTATGAGTAGCTAGGGTTACAGTTGTGATCCATTGGTGCCCACCTGCATCTTGTAAAATGAAGTAGAGATGGAAAAACAAGATTTGTGAACTTAACAGAAAGGCAAAAGGGTTGGTGATCTTCCGTTTCCCTTCATTAGAAAAACTGGTTGGCAGAATGAATTTAAGTAGAAGTTAGTAGAATCAGGGTTTTTTTTGTTTGTTTGTTTGCTCTTGTTTTGAGACAGGGTTTCACTATATAGCTTAGGCTAGCCTGGTACTCACTGTTTAGCACAGCCTGGCCTTGAACTTGTGATCCTCCTGCTTCAGCCTCCCCAGTTCTGCAATTATAGGTGTGTGTTGCCACACCCTATTCTGAATCAGCAGTTTGTAATGTTAAGCTCCTGTAAACCTGATTCCTAATTTAGCAGGATCCTTAGGTTTAAAGGATTTAACCATAAACTTACATTAAATTATTTCATAAGCTTGTTCAGTATGTTTATCAGTATAATCTTCATATCTCTCATTGCAATTATTGTAGGGATTATGGTCAGCTTTTATTAAGGGGTTTTGTTGGCATTTTAATACATTTGTATAATGCACTTTGATCATATTTACCCCCTCTTACTTTCTTATTCCCATTACCCTCTTTTTCCCTATCCCTAATGGTCCTTCTGTTACTTCCACATTGTGTCCCCCGACCCCCCAATTCCACTTAGGAGAGTAAACTTTTCTTGACGTATGAAAATACTTGATAAACATAAGTTGACATTTCAATTTGGTAAAACTTCTATGTATGCGGTTTGGGAGTCTCATGATTGATACTATAATTAAAAAACTTGGTATACATTTTTCTCCTTCAGTATAATAATCATGAAATTCGTTCTGGAAAACACATCGGTGTCTGCATCTCAGTTGCCAACAATAGGCTTTTTGTGGGCTCTATTCCTAAGAGTAAAACAAAGGAACAGATTCTTGAAGAATTTAGCAAAGTAACAGGTAAGTTGGATTTATTTGGAAAGAGGCACAACTTTAATTAAATAATGAAGGAAATAGCAGGGCTGATGGAGTGGCTCAAGCGGTAAGAGCTCCTACCTAGCAAGTGTGAAACTCCAGTGCTGCAAAAAAGTTTTTTTCAAAAATAAAAATTAAAAAAGAAAATAGCATATTTTGGTGTGATGCATTGTTCTAAACTTTACATTTTTTGATTTATTGAAGCCTCACCACAACTTTATGAGCTAGATAATCCCATTTCTGGAATAAGGAAAACAGGCACAGAAGTTCTTGGGAATTAATTTACTGAAAGTTTTGTAAGTCAGTAGGAATATAGCTGGGATTTGAACTTGGTCTGCAAAATTACCGTGCTTTCCTTGTTTTGCAAAGTTTTATTTTTGTGTGTGTGTTTATGTGTTGGTTGATATTCCTGCTAGAATAACATGAATGAGTTGATTTTTTTCCAAGTTAATAAAGGAAATGAGCATTCTTGCTAAAAGCAGATATTATATAGTGTTAATATAGGGAGGTGCTCTGCCACTTGAGCCTCTTCACTAGTCCCTTTGAACTTCTTTTAAACATCTTTTTAAGATGCTTAAGTAGTTTTCAAATGATAGTTTGCTTGTGCTAGAAAATACTTTTTTATGCTTGCAGTATTTACCAAATTATGCCTGTTAATAACAGGCCTCAGAAACATTTGAAATTCTTAGGCAGTAGTAATACTGGGATTTCCTTTGAAATAAAGCTGTTGATACCTGAGACCCGAAAAATAATCATTTTAAAAAATGTGTGCATAATAAAAAATTATCCAACTATGTTTGACCTGTTGTGTGGTATATTTTTAAAAAATTATAAAGATTCTCATCTGGTCGTGTGTGATAATTAGTGGAAGCAAAATAGTCCTTGGGACTAGTTAAAAAGCACATCATCTTATCATGGGGGTTTCTGGACTGGAAAATTTAGAAAGAGTAAATTAAGACAATGTTTGGGCCACACTCTGGTAGCTCATGCCTGTAATCTAGCTACTCAAGAGACAGAGATCAGGAGGATTGCATTTTGAAGCCAGCCTGAGCAAATAGTTTCTGAGACCCAATCTTGAAAAACCCATCACAAAAGGTCTGGCAGTGACTCAAGCTGTAAGAGCACTGCTTAGTAAACATGAGGCCCTGAGTTCAAACCCCAGTGCCACCAAAAAAAAAAAAAAATTGGAACTTTGTTTGCCGTCGTTTTGAGACAGGGTCTCACTTGTAGCCCTGGCTGTCCTTGAACTCTGGATCCCCCTCCGTCAACCTCCCAAGTTCTGGAATTACAGGAGTGTGTCAACACAAACACACAGCTTTTGGGCCTTTTAAAAAAGTGCTTTATCAAGATGCTAGCTTAGAAAAGAGAGCTTTTTTTCATATTGATGTTTAAGTAGTATCTTAGAAAAACAAGTACTTTGGTATATTTATTTTTGCTAGTTTAATTTCTCTGGAATGTTTGCTTACTTTCAGAGGGTCTCACAGACGTCATTTTATACCACCAACCGGATGACAAGAAGAAAAATAGAGGCTTTTGCTTTCTTGAATATGAAGATCACAAAACGGCTGCCCAGGCAAGGCGTAGGTTAATGAGTGGTAAAGTCAAAGTCTGGGGAAATGTTGGAACTGTTGAATGGGCCGATCCTATAGAAGATCCTGATCCTGAAGTTATGGCAAAGGTAACAATTGTCAAATTAAAAATACCTTTTGAGGGGTTGAGGATGGATGAGAGAGAAAAAATAGAAAATGAATTGTGTACTTTGTTATAAATGATATTTTTGAAAGTGGTAAGACATGTTTATTGTTAAAGTATTAGGGCCACACACAAGAAATGTATGTGCATGGGAAACATATAGATATTTATTGTTGGATACTTAAGTATCATAATCTTCTACTGAAGTAGTTAGCCCATTTTTGTAGAGATGGTTCACTTCCATACTTTGTGAAGATTCTAAAAGCATTTTCTTTTGAGTGTTTGAGAATGGTGCTGTCATCTTAACATGGTTTTTGTGTTAAAATCCTACTCCTAAAAATAGTGAAATATACTGGGCCCAGCAAAACTGTTGTAGTTACAAGGTTTAGCTATTATTAGGCATCCTGCTTCAGCAGTCAGTTGAGACATCCTGTGAGAATAAACATTGCTTGAGCCAACACTTTACATTAGTGTAGTTTGCAGTGGAGTTACTCTATCCTTTGTCTTTTAAGGCTCCCCTTTAATAGTGATAGGCCAGGTATCAAATAGAACTAAATCACTTAAATCTAGAGAGGAAGTGAGAAATGGTAGGAAAACTGTTACTTAAGTTTGATCTTAAGAGGACAGAAGATATTTGAGTTTTTTCCCCCTCTGGTTTATAAAGTTGTAATGAGGTTGCCACTTATAACAAATTCAAATGCTGTTCAGGTATTTTAGAAGAAACAGATGTTTCTTATCTGAAAGTTAAATTTTGTATTTCTATTTTTGGGAAGCTTTTGGGCATTAGGGGCATTAGGGGCCTTGTGTGGCCCATCCCCTTATCAATATTTGAAATACTTCCACCTCCTTTAAGATTTCAAAAGCAGGTCTTAGTTTTTTTCAGCAGCATTAAGTGTTAAAACATTCAATAGTTTTCCCTAAAGGGGAAATATCTATCCCTTTTTGATTGAAAAATAATTACTAAATTTTTAAAAATCTACAAATCCTATAGTCTTATCTTTATTTTTCCTTTTAAATAGACTTTGTTTATTAGGGCAGTTTTATTTTTAGGTTTCTGGCAAAAAGTATAGAGAATTCTGCAGTATTCTGCCTGGCTCTCTCCCCGGCCTTCCAAACTATCAATAGCCTTCACTGGGGTTAGTAGGTTTGTTATAATTGACAAACCTACATTGGGCACCCCAAAATCATAGATTGAGTTGGAGGTTCATTCTTTGTATACCTTTATGGGTTTTTGGCTATTTTTTATTTTATATTTTTTAGTGGGACTGAGGTTTGAACTCAGGGCTTCACACTTGCAAAGCAGCACTCTACAACTTGAGCCATACTTCCAGTCCATTTTGCTGTGGTTGTTTTTTGAAGCTAGGATCTCATGAACTATTTGCTTCAGGCTGGGGTCCCAGTGTATGGCTCCTTTAGAGATACACACACTTAATGCCCTCCCCCCCAGCTTCCACCCAGCTTCTAAAGGCTCCATCACTTCCTATTAAAGGCCCAAACTGCAACTATGTAGTTGCAAACATGTAGTTACAAGTTTTAATATTTTTAAAAAAATACTTACTCATTTTTGGCAGTGCTAGGGATTCAACTCAGGGCCTGTAGGCAAGCTTTCCTACCACTTCAGTCATGCCTCCCTCCTCGCCCCAGCCGTTTTGTTTTTTAGGTAAGGTTCTCTCTTCCTAATTTTGCCCAGCTGACCTGGAACTCTTACTGCTCCCACCTCCTAAGTAGCTGGGATTACAGGTCTGTCCCATCACACTTGGCTTGTAATCACCATTAAGTATTATAAGGATATTGTCACTGTCCTAAAAAATCCTTTGTGCTTTGCCTGTTTGCCCTACCTACCCCCTCATCCCAGACAATCACTGATTTTTTTTTTTTTTTTTAATTTTGCCATTTCAGATTGTCATAGAGTTGGAATCATATAGTAGACTCTTCAGGTTGGCTTTTTTTCTCACAGTAATAGGCATTTAAAGGTCCTTCATGTCTTTTTGAGACTTTGTTACTAATTTATAGCGGTGAATATTTCATTCTGTATTGTCACTGTGTGTGTGTGTGTTCATGTACTGAAGGATGTCCAGGTTGCTTCTAATTTTGAGCAGTTATAAAAAAAAAAAGCTGTGTACAGGTGTTTGTATGAGCATAAGTTTTCGTCTTTGGGTAAACAACCTATGTGCAGATTATAGGATTGTATGGTAAGAATATGTTCAGTTTTGTAAGAAGCTGTCAAAATGTCTTCCACTGGGGCTGTATCATTTTGCATTCTCCCTATCAGTGAATGAAAGTTTGTGTTGTTCCACATCCTCACCTATATTTGGTATGTTAGTGTTTCGGATTTTGGCAATTCTAGTGTATGTGTAGTATTTGCCTCACTGTTGTTTTTGCTCTGTTTTCTAATGATACATGATATTGAGGATCTTTTCATGGTATGTCTTCTTTGGTAAGGTTTCTGTTTCAGGTCATAGGACCTGAGTCATTAATCATACTCTGTGGTATTCACACAGAGGACTTGAAAACTTTCTAATATTTCTGATGTTCTTCTAGTGGTTGTGATTCAAGTTAATTTTGCAGGATGGGGTGGTAGCATCTTGGAAACTGAACTTTTTGGAGATACACAGGGAATTTGTTTTTTTATTTCAGGTAAAAGTGCTGTTTGTACGCAACCTTGCCAATACTGTAACAGAAGAGATTTTAGAAAAGGCATTTAGTCAGTTTGGGAAACTGGAACGAGTGAAGAAACTAAAAGATTATGCTTTCATTCATTTTGATGAGCGAGATGGTGCTGTCAAGGTAAATAAGTGGTGGAATTACCATAGGCATCTAAGTAGACTAACAACTTTTAGTTGTAATAGAATTAGTATGTTTTAGAAATTGGAGGAAATGCAGAGGTTATGAAATTACTCAAGCAAACCTTTATTGGCTTTAGTTTAGTGAGTTAGCCAATTTTCAAATAAAAAGTTGAAGAGCTGAATCTGTAAATAAAACCTCACTGACTGAGGCTATCGTCCTTCCAACTTTAATAAGTGGTTTTTAAATTTTAAATAAATCATAATTGTTTTGAAAGGCTTACTTTTATACTGATTGTCTAATTTCTTAAGGCTATGGAAGAAATGAATGGCAAAGACCTGGAGGGAGAAAATATTGAAATTGTTTTTGCTAAACCACCAGATCAGAAAAGGAAAGAAAGAAAAGCTCAGAGGCAAGCTGCAAAGAATCAAATGTGAGTAAAATGTGTAGACTTAAAAATAATTGTATGCATTTTAATTTTGGTATAGTAACTGGAGAAAAGCAGGTGTTGCTCAGATTTGTTAAATCTATTACATAAGTTTACCTTTTAAAGATGAATTGAAAGCTTTGAGTCATAGAGAAATGCGAAGGATCTAAAGAAACATTTAAGCAGTTCTTGGCTGTTGACCATACATGAAAGTAATTATTCTGAATAACTGGAATTTTGTTAAATACATGAAAAATCAGTGTCAAATATTTCTTACTGTATTTTATAGAATGTTCTCTTGAAAACATTAGCTGTGCATATTTCTTAATATACTTGGTTAAAAGATGGAGAGTTCTTTCTTAGAATGGCAGAAGATATTATATTTCCAATTATACTAAACTCTTGTTTCCTTTGTACCCAAAAAGGTTTCTTAACAGTTTGTAGTACCTGTTGCCACCCCGAAAGAGTTAATATCCTATAAATAGATCTTGAAAAGTGAATAAGCTGGGCATAGTGGTACACACATGTAATCCCAGCAGTCAGGTAGATAAGGTAGGAGGATTCTGAGTTCAAGGCTAGCTTGGGTTACATAGTGAGTTCCAGGCAAGCCTGAGTAACATAAGGAGACCCTGTTTCCTCTGTCCCCCCACCCCCCAAAAAAAATCCATTATGATAGTATTTATAAGTGAACAAGTTGGTGTGTTACATTAATTGGAGAGACCTTTAGAGGATCTACCAAAGGATATCTGATCATTAAGAAAGTCAAGGAAATTTAGTTGGGTAAGAATTGAAACCAGTTTAAAAACTGGTAATTGGTTTCTAGGGAAGAACAAAAGGTAATTGCTATTTTAAGTGAGAATAATAATCACTATTAAGGCCAATTTTCTGCATTTGGGGATGCAAAAGAAGGGGAAGAAGTTTCTACATATTTAAATCAAATTCTAGTTTCTGCACTTAATTGTGCGGTTGGAAAAGTTGACAAGTTCTGAGCCTCAGTTTCTTCAATGCTAAATGAGGTTTAAACTAACTATGATCATTTGTACTGTGATTATCAGATTGACCCATACCTGTTCTGGGACTGAAGAAATACGCTTTATAGGTTTGGTGATAATAAAAAAAGAAAAACTACAAAGAGTGACTTCTGAGTATATTGTATGAAATATAAAACAGTAACTCATTTGTTCCTTTCAGAGGACTATTATAGTTTAAAGTAGCACAGTGTAGGTAAAGGGAATTACTTTAGATTTATTAGAGCAGCTTCATTTTTGACTTGATAGTAAAAAAGCAGGTGGAGGATGTCAGTATATCTGTTAGTGTTTGAAAAGAAGAATAAACTATGACTGCATGTGAAGATTGTACTTAAACTTATTGGTCATTTGCTCCTTTTTAAAAAATTTAAATTAGCATGTATTTGTACTTAATCTTCATTGCATCTCTGAGTTAGGTACTTTTATTTCCCGGTTTGAGATGAGAAAACTGAGGCACAGGTCAGTCATACAATACAGCTAGTAATTTGAATGAAAGCAGTCTGGTCCCACAGTTT